CATATACCCGCACTCAGATTTTTCTTCTTTGGGGTAAACCATCAAATGTTTTCAAATTTTTTTTGGAGGTCATATTTTTTAGACCTTTCATTGCCTTCATTGCTTTTCACCAGACTCTCTAATTGAACCATCTCTTTGTTATACTTTAAAAGGAACAAATTTGCACTTCTGGGGTCTGAAAGTTGGTGGTCACAGTATAAGGATTACTTCCTGCATTTTGCAAGCTGCATTTTTTGTTTACATAGTCCTGTATAGTGTTTTCTTTATAAATGACAGCATGACATGTTGGCTTACATTCATTTTTTCCACTCTGTGCACTCTGGGCCATCTTCTTAGGAACAGTTAGCCTGCCTGTACTTTTTGCATTTGATTATTTCTATCTAAGCATATTTATTGCCTTTATTTTGAATTCCAGCTTTAGCCCATTTTCCAGTTTAAGAGATTTTTTTTTTAATTCCAGTGTTGTCCGTCATACTTTCAGCCCTTCTAGACATGTCATGGAAACATAGCAAGAAATTCATTGCATTTCTTTCTGCAAGTGTACTGTTGACTTGTCCAGTGTTCACAAAATCCCCTAAGCCTCTAACTCCTCAAATGTTATGAAATACCTTACTGTAAATGTTCCTGAGACACTGCCATGTATCCTATAGGACATTCAGAGAAGTCCAGTTGTTTTAAAATTTAGGTTAACAGCTGGACTTCCTTTCTGAAAGTCACCCTTTACTCTTTGTACGTGTAAGTGATGATGGTGTTCAGGTTCAAGCTGATTTTTGCCCCAGTCTTTCCATTCTCTAAATAACTATGAGCCTAATAAGGAAGCAGCTTTGTTTTCTCTTACTGAATTAGTCCATTGTATGAAATCAAGCATGGATGTGCAACTGTGTATGAAAGTGTGGCCTAGCACTGTAAGTTTCTAACCTAATCCCAAAAATAAAACTAAAAAAAAAAAAAAAAAAAGATTATAATCACAGTTTGGGAGGGTTCATGCACTGATCAAAATCAAAGGAGCAGCTCCATTGAAATTTCTGGATTGCAGAGGCTGGAGAAAAGACCTGGCCAATTAGAAGGAAAATCCTTTTTAACCCCCCAGTTATTTCTCAGGGATACCATCCTGTATTTCCTTAATCTTTTTGAGGAGATGTGTAACCTTCCCTCAGTCACTATTTCAAAACACACATCTTTGAACGGAGTAGTATCCTCCCTCAGTGCAACCAGTGAAGCTTTTCCCTGTGCTTTTCCTTAAAGATTAGGCAGTGGATTTGGCATTTGATTCATAAGCTTTTTGGTCCTAGGCTGGCTTGCATCCAGAGTACGCAGAGGGTTTGCAGAGGGTCGGATGTTGTGTACCTAGTGAAATAGCTGGTGGTGCACTGCTCAGTAGGAGACTCTCCATGTTCCTGAAAAGCAGCTTTAGAATCTGTCAGTATTTCTGAGCTGGGTCTTTGGGGAGAGAGGCTGAAAGAGTTCCTTAGAATCAGGAACTGTTTGCTCCCTTTCTTTCAGTGATAGGTTTTTTGGTTTTCATCCCAGAGCTACTTAGGCTACACTGTAATTTCACTGCAACACAGGACTGTAAAATATTATATATAATTGCTCTTTTCAAAATGTTCTCTTGCACCACTGTAAATCAGGAGAATTTCCTCTGAAAATGGTGGAATTAGTCTCATTTTATTCAGTGAGAATATAATTAAAGAGACAGGAAGGCAATGAATTGTAGCAGTAATGAAATACAACTCATGACAGAAATGTTTCTATCTTTCCCTGCTTACGAGGAAGATGGATGATGCCATCCTGATTGCCTGTAGGCTAATGGTCCTGGTATAAACCTGTCCAGCTTTGGGGAGGTGCCCAGAAATGTGACTTACTATGGCAAGCTTCAGGCAAACCTGATACCCTATAACATAAACTATATTTTTAGATAAAAAGAAGAATATAAGAAGCACAAGAAATCAAAGAAAAGTGATGGAGGTCATCCTGGATCACAGTTGCAGAATAAAGTCTGCTAGAAAGTGCCTGAATCATCTCTGGAACTTCTTTGGAAATGCAAGGGCTTTGCAAAAGCTGATAAGAGTGATCCAGTCTTAACTCTTGTCTGCTGTTGTTCTTTACAAGACCTGAGTGTTTTGCCCCAGGAAAGCTGAGGCAGGTTTTTTTTTCTGCTGTCCTGTTCCCTGATTTGGCAACTTGAAGAGACTGGCAGGCCATTTTCTAAAACACCCATCAGTCGTCAAGAGAGAGCAGGACAACAGAATCACTAATACAACATGAGAGAAGTGATAGGAAACATCAACAATTCCTGTTAAGCAGAGCATGTGATAATTTAGGGGATAAAGCTGAAATATCACTGAACCTTTGACAGTTTTGAAAGGGAAACTAATAAGTTGTGTATGAAGAATATCTTTGCAAAAATTTCTCAAAATGCTCTGGAAACACTCAACCTTTTGAAGCAAGGGGCAGTTCACTTGGTTATTGTTAGTTAGGCATTTTTACAGGATAGTCTGTCTTTTATTGCTTTTCACACATGAGTCTCAAAGTGTGTTACAGGGTGGTCAATAGCATTTTTCCTGCTGTGCTGAAAGGCCACATAAGAAGTCAGGATTGATAATTTGCCTGGGGTTACCCAGAAGCAGAGCAGAGGACTCCAGAGTGCCTGTTTAGTACAATATTTACACAGTCAGTGTTTCCTGAGAAAAGTCCACCTGGGGAAGATTGGCACAATATATTAATGCAGACAGTGATCACATCAAAGAGTTTAACACCTCAAATTGACAGAGGCGAAGTGGGAACACAGGGGGATGCATTGGTTTTCTTCTAGTCTCACAGCAGGTTAACAGGAGAAACACACCTCCAAGCCAGGTGCCTTGCCTTGCTGACATGCAGCTCAACCCCAGGCTAGGCTGGCTCATCCAGGGTCTGTGGTCACACTCTCTCCTCCTGAGCTGAAAACACCCTGTTTTCACCTGAAGATGGAAGAGGCAAGTGGTCATATGAGATAATTTTTTTTTTTTTTGCACAAGAGTGACATTCTACAAACAGAAAACTCTCCATCACAGGGGAATGAAATAGGAAGAGAATTTAGAAAGGCTGTACCATGTATTTCATACTTGGCAACTTGTACTTTGGAGTTAAAACAATTTTGCTTGTGCCCTTTTGAAAGCATGAGGCTACATGCATGAAGAAAGCATCCTATTTCCCAGGGAGCCATGTTTCAAAAGTAGAAAAAGAACACTTAGCCACGGAGCATTAAATCAGCTCATGTAGTTAGCTGACTAGCTTTCTCACAGAGATGAGGGTCCCAGAGTGAAGCGGAGGAAGCAAGGCTTAGGAATGTAAATATTAGTAGGTGTGCATGAACATAAATTGTAAAATTTGACAATTTTAATGACTTGCATTTATTTTCACTTGCTGAGTTCCCTGGCTGACATCAGAAGCTGAATGTTAGGTTGCTAGCAGAGAAGGCAGAGGGCAATAGGGACAGGATAGGCTCAATTCCCATGTTGCCATAGAGTTTGCAATGACAGCATTATGTAAAAAAATATTATGTAAACCTTATGTAAAGACAACTGATAGAAAGAGGAGCTTCCTAAAATCTCCCCCAGACATAGAAGTACCATGTAGAATTACCTGTCACCTCAGCAGGAGCTTTCAGACCACTGGACACTTAAATCACATCATTATAACAGACACCTCTGGATTCCCTGATGGAGGTTCTTCTATTTTACTTGGTAGGATTATGGATGGGAGGAGGATTAAATGATAAGTGAATCATGTGACAGCAAGCGAATGCCTGAAGATGAAAGAAATGGTGACTGGAGGAGGCCTTTCATTTCAAGATATTATGTGGAATGGAAAACACACATACAAGGCATTATGATGCCTAATACTGCATAGGTGCACAAGGTTTGTGTGTTGTGCCTGTATTGAGTATGAGACCCTTAGGGTAAGGTCTGTGGATATTTTAGGTCACCTAGCACAGTATTGCCCTGGTCTTTGTGCAGACCTGGAATGGAAACATTAACGGGGTTGTTTTTCATGTTTTTTAATGTGGTTGTGTTTCATGAAACATTTCATGTTTCAATACGGCAAGCTGTATTTACAAAGAGATACAGCTTTGTCTGATTTAGTTTAGTTTTCAATGTCCATTTCAGTCTGGTAGTTTTGTCCTTGACTGCCATCATGGACCAAGAGGTAACAATCCACGGCCTCAGTGATCTCAACCCTTGGACAGTGCTCAAAATATCTAGACATCTGACAGGCAAATGCAAAAGCTATAAACGATTGTGATGAACCACCTGATGCTCCTTTCCTACTGTACCTTCTGCTGTCCCACAAATACAAATTGGATGAAGCTCTCTTACCAAGAAATCTGCAGATTCTAACTGAGTGTCAGCCTTCAACTCTGCTGCATGTATGAGAAGGAAAACAGGAAACAGGAGGACTAGTATGATATTTCCATGCCATTTGTTACTTTATAGAGCTGTTTTTCACACCTATTTTTATTTGATTTTTCTATAAAATGGCCACAATTGACTTGTATTAGATATTTTGCTGAAAAAGAACAGAAGGCACTTTTTTTCACTAACCTGCTTTCAGGCAGTTGCAATTTCTCTTCATTTTTTGCTTTTTGTAATTTATAGCTAAGTAACAGAGAAAGAACAACTCTAAAATTTGCTTGTAAGTCCAGGTACATTCCAGGAACGTTATTTAGACGGCACTCTGAGAATACATATTATTGCTTTCTTATTTAATTGGGTACAAACAAAATCCAACATCTGATTTGGGAATACTTCTGTGTCAGTTTAGGTTATTTTCTGACTCAATTTGATGAGCAGGCTGTGAGTCTCATTACTTGAGTAGGTGAGTGCAAGAGGCTACTGTATAAAAGGCTACAGTTAATTGTTTTAGCTAAAAAGATGGAGAAAGTAGAATGAGGATCCACATCTATAAGCTGATTCTTCCCCTTGTCTAAACTTTTTTTTTTTTTTTTTTTTGTTTTACAGGTGATGGAAATTAAAGGACAAATGATTCATGTGCCAGAATCAAACTCTATATTGTTTCTGGGTTCCCCCTGTGTGGACAAGCTGGATGAGCTGATGGGCCGAGGCCTCCATCTTTCGGACATTCCTATCCATGATGCTACTCGTGATGTCATATTGGTCGGGGAGCAAGCAAAGGCACAGGATGGCTTGAAAAAACGAATGGATAAGCTGAAGGCAACGCTAGAATGTACACACCAAGCCCTGGAAGAGGAGAAGAAGAAGACAGTAGATCTCCTTATTTCCATTTTCCCTGAAGAGGTGGCTCAGCAGCTGTGGCAGGGGCAGCAGGTTCAGGCCAGGAAGTTTGATGATGTCACCATGCTCTTCTCGGACATTGTTGGCTTCACTGCCATCTGTGCTCAGTGCACGCCCATGCAGGTCATCAGCATGCTCAACGAGCTCTACACGCGCTTCGACCACCAGTGTGGATTCCTTGACATCTACAAGGTAACAGCTCAAGTCCTAACCTAGCAAAAGATAACTGAAATGAAGGCAGGAAAAATTCCAGTGGCTTTCTTCCTAAATTGCAGGCCTTCCTCAGAAAAGTATAAAGGCAATATTTTTGTTTTATATGTAAAAAAACCCAGATCTGAAATACGACCATTGAAACTCAAATGCTTCAATATGAAATGGTCGTCATGGTACTCCCATGGGTACATAGGCCTCATATTCCCATTTTCTTATAGCAATGCACATGTCCTGTATTATAGCCTGGTTTCCTTTAGATGACACATCAGCCACAGCATTCTAACAATGAAGAAGTGCACGGTGATGAATCCTAGCTCAGACTTCAGCTCCTGGGAGGCACTCACTTTCATCTTGAATGATTTAGGTTTAGGGTTTAGGCATTTATCTTTCCCTTGAAAGAACTAAAATTTTCCATAAGGAACGGAGCATACACTAAAAATAGTTACTATAAGGAACTTCAACTTCCACTGAAAAACAGGAAGAGGAGAGCAGATGTCTATGCATAGTAAATGTAATGAATGGGACATGGTGCTGGTGTGCCATTTCCTCCAAAGGAAATGTCACACATGTTGGTCCCATTAGAGGACTCATCTTCACTTCTCTTAAATGGATTTGGTGTCCAGTATGTATTTGAGAGAAAAAAAGGGGGAGGTAGAATTTAATAAATGCACTGAAGATATTAGCAGTGTAATTATCCTGTGAAACCTACTGACTGTTTTGTATATGGAATGCCTTTAATTTTGTGATAGAAGAAATAGAGCGAGTCTCTTTTTATATGTTAATTCACAAGAGAAAAGAGATGTGGTTGTGAAATTATATATTGACTTTTTTACAGCCTGAGGTTTGCAAACTAACAGTTTTCAAATATTTAATATAGTATTTGTTGATAGGCTGTAGAGAAAAAGGCCTCAAAAATGTCCTGCTCCTTTCATTTCTAGCCTTTAGTGCACTTTAAAAGGAATTGAAAAATAATTACTACCCATCTAAATAATAATTATGGCTGAAAAGCTACAGCATGTACCACAGATAGAATTGAAAATGGTGTAGCTGAAGGTTGGTAGGGCAGTTTACCAAAGTAAACAAGTACACTGTAAAGAAGTTTTAGGCTCCTGGTTTAGGGGTTTGTTTTACTAATGCTCAGAAGCCAAAGGGACACCTTGGTACATCAATGCAGTGGAAGGTACCAGCCCTAATATGAAAACTGTTGTGGTGGTGCTGTCAGCAAAGATGGTGAGTGTGATCTCAGTTTTTGTTAATCTAATGTTGCTGCACAGGATTATGACACAGATTCAAGAACAGGACTTGAGGAACTTCCAACCCAGAGTCAGGAGGATACCTAGTGACCCTGCTTCACCCTGGGTCCACATGGGTGTCTCACTGTGTTGCCAGGTGATTAATTTCAGCTGTTTTGAAGCATTCAGAATATCCTTTGTTGAAAATTATGGTTGCATGGGAATAGGATATAAAGTATGCAAAACTCTATGATCTGACTGCAAAGAAAGCTGGTTGAATCCTGTGAGAACACTAAGAAGGAATATTTATGCATAGGAATGATCACCACCAGAACAATTATGATTTTATAAATCATTGTCAGGTAGTGAATTTTAGATACTTAATTACCACTATTTATACCCAGGCCACCTCAAAGATATACTCGTGTAACCAGGCTACAGAAATTTATCATGTGACCTAAATACATACATTTTAAAATTCGCTTGTTTTTAAGCAGCATGGCAAGAATAATATGGAAAGATTATTTGGTGGACCCATCTGAATACCAAAGTCACCATTTTGTAAACAGAAAATTAAGTAAAATATTATAAATTCCATGCTGTAAATTATTTATCCAGCTTTACTGTTACAGAATTTTTTACTCAGAACCTCACTGCTTCTAATCCGGTAGCGAATGTAATATTTTCATTTGTCTCATGCTATTCATCCAAGGATGTTTATAGAGAAATATGGCACAAAAGGAACAAAGATTCTCACATTTAACTAATCAGACATAGAGGGCAAGCATAATAAGCTCTTGGATACAGACTGAAAATGCTTGGAGAGACCTGAATGGTGATGGGTTAGACTTTGAAATTTCTTTGAAATTAAAGTAAGTAGATATAACTGATTAGGTAGGGAAAGCTTATCCAATGGATGGAGGCAGAGGTAAGAATGACACAGATGATGGGCTCAGAAGATAAATTTCACAGCAGCATTTTGAATGGATAGCAATTATGACAGATTACATTTGTCCAGGCTGAGGGAGAGCATTGCCGTAATTGAGATGCACGGTGGTATGAGCCTGGGTGACAGTTTTAGCAATCTAGAAGGATCTGTGTTTTAGAGAGTGAAACCTAGGAGAGAATCTGCTGACATATGGCCTTGGTGAAAAGATTAGGAGGGACATGTTCACGATAATCACAGAACAAGGAGGTGAAAGAACTGAGACCTGGTGCTGCATTTGGAAACTGGGGTTGCTGACTATCAGAGCTAATTATATTTGGCTTGGAGTTGAGGAGTGGGAGAAAAAGTCAAGCAAGGAGTGCAGTTCTGGTCAGTGTAGCTGCAGATGCTTGGCAAGCTGGTATTTGTGGACATGCAAGTAAAAGCATGGACTCCAGGAGCAAAAGTCATGGGAGAGATATCTCAGTAAATTTTGAAAGCCGTGGCTTTGGGTAAAATATGTACTTGTTGGCCTGTTTTGACCTGTTTTTCTCTGCCTCTGAGTTCCTGTTATTTATCAGAAAAGTACTGGGAAATGATGCTTCAGTTAAGCCATCTCTTTATCAAGTAAGCTTTTTAGATATGCTGCAGCCATGTATTCTGGCATTTAAACTTAACCCTGCAGTCTGAAATCTTCCTTGCTTAAGATTCCCACAGCTTCTGTTTCTCCTTCATGTAATATGTATTTGACATTGGCTCATTTACAATATTTATTTCTTGTTGAGTCCTTCTGCCTTTGTAGGCCTGCTTTCTCAGCTCTTTTCCCCTCAGTTTCCTTTCTGAAACATTTCCCTCTTGCACCCTTTAACTGTGTAAAGGCAGCATTTATTTTGCATGTTTTTTTGGCTGCGTGGCTGAGTAGTGTCGAGCCAAACAGAGCAGAGCCAGGCCTAATCCTGTAGGTGTTAGTTTCTTTGTCCTTTCTCTAAACAGGGCAGAATTTGTCCTTGGAGACATTGCAGATTTTCTCTGACACTATACTTAACTTTCTCTGAAGTCCTTAGTCCCTTTTTCCTTGTCTAAGCAGAGAGTCCTAAATATTTTTTGAAAATGAACTGTGGTCAGCTGCCAGAATTTCTTTGCTATACATCTTCATCGTAAACATTTTAATTGAATGTTTATTGATTATTTATATAAGACAATATAATTACATACATTCATTTTACAGTCAGAATCCACAAGTTCCTTGTGTGGACTCCTGCTTTCTTTTTGGTTTCATTATTTTGCTAAAGTGGCACTGTCTCTGAGCGGTACCACACACAGCTTCCTTGGGCTTTTATTCCTGGCAACATGATACACTTAATGTGTTACATCTTTATTTTCTGATTTCATATGCCTAACACTGTATATAGCCTTAATGTTTGCTTGTTGTAAAGACCCAAGACTAAAAAATGATGGGAAATCTGGACTTTCCTGCAATCATTCAAGACTGATACTCACTAGTTTTGAAAAATGTTTATATTTAGGTTGTGATACAATGCTTTCAGGAATGTAATTTTAAACTCCCATTTTCTAAGAATATTGCTTTACATTTCTGTATTGGTAGTTTAAGTTGCAGAAATCTGTACTCATTTTACAGAAAATACCAGTACATTCTCAGTGCCATGACTGTCCCCTCTTGAGAACTAATACATCTTGTACTCAAATACAAGTATTTGTACATATTGTACTCAAAGAAATGTTCTCAACCTTACTATCAGTGCTATAATGGCAAATAAAGAATACTTCAATAAGCAGGGTCATGAGCTTCAGATTATTCTGAAGTTTTCCAGGCTTTGTGTTTCATAAGTTAAAAAACATAGTCTCCAAATTTTCATATAAAATCTATGGCCACAATTTTAGCCATCTTTCCATCCAGTTTTAACCTTTTAAGTTCTGTGCAAATACATGGCATTTTTGAGAAGTTTTGAAATTCTAAACTTCAGCTTAGGCATTTGCAAAATGCAGGAAATGCAATTAAGATATATAAAATGATAGTGATACTCTTACATGAGCAGTACAGAACACATAAAATATTACAAGATAATAAAAATTTTAAAAATTCCATTTTTTTTTTAAATGGAATGGTGCAGTTCTGAGGATTAGCAGTGCAGTAGGTATTGCTTCTTCCTGATAGCTTAAAGTCAGTGGGTTTTGAATGTGTAATAGATGAAAATGGGCAATACAAAAAAAATTTCCACAGCCCAGAGGCTCGCTCTCTCTGCAGAGTCACCCAGCCTGGTAGAGCTGCCTTCAGCACATTGCTCTGTTTGGGTCCCACCACAGAGGGTTTCTGAACCTTCTTTCTCCTGTCTTTGAGCTGGCTATGACACTTTCTCCTCCTTGAAGTCTTTGCCTGTACATGGACTTGCTGGCACACTGGCATGTCTTACTCCAGTATAAAGTTAGAGCAAAGCAGCTGTCTCTTTGGGGAACTCAGAAGTGTTCTTGGGTTAAGGGAAAAAAAGAAAAACCCAAGAAAAAAAAAAGGAAACACAAAATGTTCCATGGATTTTCCCTGCAGATCTGGTGTAACACCACCCAAGAACTCAAGAATATTTTAGGACTTCCCATTCCTTTAAGCATGTATTTTTCTCCAACCTTGTGGACAATTTACACTTTCTGTCTTCAGGGAGATCTGCAAATGAAGCAAGCAGTCGCTCAGGCTCCAGAAGAGTTATTCTTTGCTTTATAAACATTCAGCCCTGCACAAAGCACTGAAACATTTGTGCATGTTCTCCTGCAATACATCACCCAAGAATCCTATAAAGAGCCTAGGACTT